AGATAGATAGATAGATAGATAGATAGATAGATAATAGATAGATAATAGATAGATAGATAATAGATGATAGATAGATAGATAGATAGATAGATAGATAGATAGATAGATAGATAGATAGAACTATTGCTACAGTAGCTATGGGGCCTGGGTGGAGGGGTGCCCAGTTGGGGCCCATGAGAAGTGGTGGGCTGAATGAACAGACATGGGATGTGGTCATTCACAAAGTTCTGAGTGGTTCAGTCCCCTAAGGACTGGCCAGCAGTTGCTGTGGCAGCTCAGAGAGTCCACCAAAGTGAGTTGAGGAAAAAATGACGATTATCTCAAAAGGTTGAACGGTAGACAAAAACAGGGAGAGGTCAAACTGGTGGGAAGGCTCTTCCTTAGACCACCTTTCCTGTTTATCCCCCAGAATTGAACAGGTTGAACAGGAAACGGAGTGGCTCAGGCACCGGTAGGATGTCCTGGCCGGCAGATCTTGCCATAAATTAGAGGTGCAGGATCTCATGCTGGATGTTGTCACAGGACTTACAAAAGCAAAAGGTAGGAACATGGTCAACAGGCAGAGGTTGGCAATGGGGCGGGCAGCAGAGGTACGGATTCCGAAGACAAGAGCATAAACAGGAGCCAGGTTGAGGTCAGTATCACATGGACAAAGAGTGAGTCAACGGGATACGCAAGGTGCAGAGTTCGAGGAGCAAGCCAGAGGTCAGGTACCAGAGGGATTAAGATCAGGCATAGTCAGAAAGCAAACCGGGTATATCATAGGAACAAATAGGGTTTGGTCACTGGTCACAGGAATTGACGACCACTCAGCAATGATCTTGAGTCTTGCAGTGTTTCAAATAGGGCACCAATGTCAATTCAAATGGGCATGCTCATGCTCACACGCATGCATGCACGTGTAAGCAGGTGCAGTCTACTTTCTCCACTGCAGGTGACGTTCAACTGCAGCGGCATTGCAGAGGGAGAGGAAATCAAGAGGGACATGGTTCCTCTATGGTTTCCTGTGTCACTGGGGACGCTATCCGGTTGGATGCCCCATGTGACTCTGGTGGCCATGTTGGGTCAGGCAGTGTCTATTTAAGACCATGGCTCCCGGGCTTAAAGTGCATCCTGCATGTGTGTAATGTAGAGCCAGGTCACCTGTCTGTCAGGGACGGTGAATACTGGTAGGGAAACCTTTCAGACAAGTAGGAAAAGAGTACAGACACACCGCTCTTTCTGAAATCCTCCAATTTGGGCATTTTTGGGTTTGTGAAGTGCGAACTTTAACTTTAATACAAGTTTTGTTTCCTGCAACTGGACTCTTTGCTGCCGCCGCACCACGCTGCACCTCCCCACACATGGCCATGCACTCAGTTCTTTGAACACAGGCATGAGTTCAGTCTTCCTGACAATAACTTACATCTGTTAAGACTGCAGTCACCCTATGGAGTAGGGACACACAACCTTCCATGTGAGCAGGTGGAGAAAACCTACGCAGGATGAAAGTGGTCACTCTCGATGCCCTGTATCATGTCCCTGTACAGTATTTATGCCTTTAAAGTGCACTTTATAAAGAGTTTTGAACAGATAAAATACTTTTTTTTTTAACTTTTTTCTGACCTCCGGAACGGATTAATTGGTTTTCAATGCATTCCTATGGGAAACCGCGTTTTGTTTTACAAATTTTTCACAATACAAAAAGTCCCGCAGAACAAATTCAGGGTGACAACATCAATGTTTTTTGTATGAAATTAGCTTTGTTTATTTATCTCAATACATTTTGGGTAATGCGCTAAGCGATTGCGCTCCCCTGTGTTCGTTTTCAGTTTGTGGTTGGATCTCCCTGTCTGAGAGGGCTGCACCGCTAAGACATTTCCCGAGGAATCCCCACCTTGCAACATATTCCCAACTAGTAAATGTATATTATATAGGACGCATTTGTTGGAGCCCAACCTCTGTAGCTGTAGGATAAAGGTGCCAGATGGATATCAGGGATGGATGGATGGATGGATGGGAGCAGTCACACCGAGGCAGCTCTTCTTAGAGTGGAAGCAAGGCTCTAATGCAGTGACAAGAAAAAGAGAGGAAGGCGCCTCTAAGTGCAGTATTAACAATTTAATTAGTAAACAATGTAAAATTGCACTTACAAGATAAATACTTAAAAAGACTCATCGTGTGGTAATTAGATCCAGGTGGGACATCCAGCCGTCCAGCAGCAAACTCTGTCTATAGGATCAGGAAGTAGAGTCCAGGATGTGCATCAAAATGAAGCTTGGAGAGCAGAGTCAGATGTAGGAGGTGAAGGGGGCGGTAATGCATTTCGGAGCATGCTCAGTAGGCTCCTTCTTCAGACCTCTGGACTCTACTTCCTGATCCTATAGGCATAGTCTGCTGCTGGACGGCTGGATGTCCCTCCTGGATCTAATTACCACACGATGATTCTTTTTAACTATTTATCTTGTAAGTGCAATTTATCCATTGTTTACTAAATAAATTGTCAATACTGCACTTAGAGGCGCCTTCCTCTCTTTTTCATATTCCCAACTAGTGGCTTTCCCTTTTGAGCGCTGGCGAGGCGGTTGGTAGTCTTGTATAGGGGGGTGCGGGGCCCCATCTGAGTTAACACTACACTTCAGCTACATACGAGAAGACCCCTTAAAGGTCTATTGCTAAGAAAAAAAAATGCATAGCCATTAAACATTCATTCTTTGTGAAATTGGCAAAAAAAATATTCTTTAGGCTGTTTTTCTCCTCCGAACAAATATTACTCTACAACAAGAAATACAATGTAACAATTCTAGAGAACGCTAGAGGGAATTAAGAAATGACCAGTGGTTACAGGTATTCTCTCATTCCCTCGGACGCACATGTGTCAAACACAAGGCAGAATCTGGCCCACCAGGCCATTTCATGTGGCCCTCGCACCTCCCCTGCAGCTACAGTACCCCCCCACGTCTCCACCCCTACTTTTGTCTCAGCAGTTGTCAGCAGAGAGGAGGAAAGAACTATTCCACCAGATCCTGCGCTTCTCTATCGAGCTGCAGAGAGGCTCATCTCTGCCTCCCCCTCGTTTCAGAAGTCAACAGCAGAGAGGACAGAACTATTCCACCAGATCCTGCGCTTCTCTGTTGAGCTGCAGAGAGGAGGACAGAACTATTCCACTAGATTATGCGCTTCTCTGTCGAGCCGCAGAGAGGCTCTTCTCTGCCTCCCCCTTGTTTCAGAAGTCAACAGCAGAGAGGACAGAACTATTCCACCAGATCATGCGCTTCTCTATCAAGCTGCAGAGAGGCTTGTCTCGGCCTCCCCCTCGTTTCAGAAGTCAATAGCAGAGAGGAGGACAGAACTATTCCACCAGATCCTGCGCTTCTCTATTGAGCTGTGGAGAAGCTCGTCTCTGCCTCCCCCTCGTTTCAGAAGTCAACAGCAAAGAGGAGGACAGAACTATTCCACCAGATCATGCACTTCTCTATCGAGCTGCAGAGAGGCTCGTCTCTGCCTCCTCCTCGTCTCAGAAGTCAACAGCAGAGAGGAGGACAGAAGTATTCCACCAGATCATGCGTTCTCTGTCGAACTGTGGAGAAGCTTGTCTCTGCCTCCCCCTCATCTCAGAAGTCAACAGCAGAGAGGAGGACAGAACTATTTCACCAGATCCTGCGCTTCTCTGTTGAGCTGCAGAGAGGAGGACAGAACTATTCCACTAGATTATGCGCTTCTCTGTCGAGCCGCAGAGAGGCTCTTCTCTGCCTCCCCCTTGTTTCAGAAGTCAACAGCAGAGAGGACGGAACTATTCCACCAGATCATGCGCTTCTCTATCGAGCTGCAGAGAGGCTTGTCTCGGCCTCCCCCTCGTTTCAGAAGTCAATAGCAGAGAGGAGGACAGAACTATTCCACCAGATCCTGCGCTTCTCTATTGAGCTGTGGAGAAGCTCGTCTCTGCCTCCCCCTCGTTTCAGAAGTCAACAGCAGAGAGGAGGACAGAACTATTCCACCAGATCATGCGTTCTCTGTCGAACTGTGGAGAAGCTTGTCTCTGCCTCCCCCTCATCTCAGAAGTCAACAGCAGAGAGGAGGACAGAACTATTTCACCAGATCCTGCGCTTCTCTGTTGAGCCGCAGAGAGGCTCTTCTCTGCCTCCCCCTCGTTTCAGAAGTCAACAGCAGAGAGGACAGAACTATTCCACCAGATCATGGTCTTCTCTGTCGAGCTGCAGAGAGGCTCGTCTCTGCCTCCTCCTTGTCTCAGAAGTGAATAGCAGAGAGGAGGACAGAACTATTCCACCAGATCAACTTCTCTCCCCCACACCCCACCACATCGATCTTCCTGCTATCCGCCACTGCTCAAAAGGCCCCTTCTTCTTGGGGGAGGTGCCACCCCCCTAAAAATTGCCGCCCTAGGCAAATGTAGATACGCCCCTGATTGTATCTCTTGTTACAGAGGTATATATTTCCTGAGTTTGGGACAAACATACAACCCCAAAACCGTAACAAACCACATGCAGATTCCCTGGGTGGATGATTGTTTTTATAAATAGACCCCCAAGTCGCTGACCCAGAAATGAGGTGCCTCAGGCTTGCTCCAGCTCAGCGACTCCAAAATCGATCGACCTGTCTGCTCTGACTTATGTCACCCTAATATGTAAGTATTTTTATAACGCTGCAATTTATTTCAATGTCGATTTTTTTTATTCTTCTATTTCTTCTCACAAACCCGCCCGGAGAATGAGAAAACTTTGTTGTCTTAACAGGAGAGCAGCGGCGATCCTTTCTATCATATCGCTGATAATGCACCGCGGGGACATTGACGAATGGCCTTCAATATTCATCATGTACGTCCGAAGGCAAACCGAGCTCAAATGCCGAGACAAGAACAACGAAGAGCATAAATAATCCTCAGTATGGCGCTAAATTCCCCTCTGTGCATACATATGACAGAGAGTTACGGGAAATTGAATATTCCATTCTCAGCAGTGCTCCTACATCATACATGATCGTTACCTAAGGCTACACATCACCATTCATAACATTCACACCGGAGTTCTGCCATCACTTGTCAGCTGTCAGTCATCCCTCGTCTCCCATGATTATCCTCATACAATATATGGCCAGACGTATTGGGCCCCGCCCTATAAAAAACATGTGATTCAGGTGCTCCAATCCCCTCCAAATCATGTGATTCAGGTGCTCCAATCCTCTCCGTATCATGTGATTCAGGTGTTCCAATCCCCTCCCAATCATGTGATTCAGGTGCTCCAATCCCCTCCATATCATGTGATTCAGGCATTCCAATCCCCTCCCAATCATGTGATTCAGGTGCTCCCATCCCCTCCATATCATGTGATTCAGGTGCTCCAATCCCCTCCATATCATGTGATTCAGGTGTTCCAATCCCCTCCCAATCATGTGATTCAGGTGTTCCAATCCCCTTCATGGACACAGGTGTATACAATCAAGCCCTAGGCATGCAGACGGCTTCTACAAACATTGGTGAAAGAATGGGTCGCTCTCAGGAGCTCAGTGACTCCAAGCGTGGTCCCGTGATAGGTGGCCACCTGGGCAATAAGTCCATCCGTGACATTTCCTGGCTACTAAATATTCCACGCTCAACTGTTAGTGGGATTATAACAAAGTGGAAGCAACTGGGAACAACAGCCACTCAGCCACCAAGTGGTAGGCCACGTCACATGACAGGGCGGGGTCAGCGCATGCTGAAGGGCACAGTGCGCAGAAGTCGCCAACTGTCTGCAGAGTCAATAGCTAAAGACCTCCAAACTTGGTGTGGCCTTCAGATGAGCCCAACAACAGTGTGTAGAGAGCTTCATGGAATGGGTTTCCATGGCCGAGCAGCTGCATCCAAGCCTTCCATCACCAAGTGCAATGCAAAGCGCCGGATGCCGTGGTGTAAAGCACATCGCCACTGGACTCTAGAGCAGTAGAGGCGTGTTCTCTGGGGTGACCAATCCGCTTCTCTGGCAATCCGTTGGGCGTGTCTGGGTTTGGCAGTGGCCAGGAGAACGGTAGTTGCCTGACTGCATTGTGCCAAGTGTAAAGTTTGGTGGAGGGGGGATTATGTTGTGGGGTTGTTTTTCAGGGGTTGGGCTTGGCCCCCTAGTTCCAGTGAAGGGAACTCTTTAGGCAACATTTTGGACAATTTCATGCTCCCAACTTTGTGGGAAGAGTTTGGGGATGGCCCCTTCCTGTTCCAACATGACTGCGCACCAGTGCACAAAGCAAGGTCCATAAAGACATGGAGGAGCCAGTTTGGGGTGGAGGAACTTGACTGTCCTGCACAGAGTCCTGACCTCAACCCCATAGAACACCTTTGGGATGAATTAGAGCGGAGACTGCGAGCCAGGCCTCCTCCCCCGACATCAGTGCCTGACCTGACAAATGTGCTTCTGGAAGAATGGTCCAACCTTCCCATAGACACCCTCCTAAACCTTGTGGATGGCCTTCCCTAAAGTGAATTTTAGAGCAAAAAACTAAATAAATTAAATTACTAAACTAAATTTTTGGTAAAATATAAAAGATGAGGTTGCACCGAGTAAATAGATACCCAACATGCCAAACCTTTACATTTTTGTGCTCCTGTTAAATGGCGACAAACTTCAGCCCCTATGTTTTCTATAGACGACGCTTCAAAAGCCCCCTAAAGGTGATAGGTTACAGAGGAGGTCTGGAGCTAGAATTATTTACATAGTTAGTCTGGCTGAAAAAAGACAAAAGTCCATCCAGTTCAACCATTAAAAATAAAAAAGTAATAATCCTACACGCACAGTTGATCCAGAAGAAGGCAAAAAATACCAGCAAAGCACTATCCAATCTGCTCCTGCAGGGGAAAATGCCTTCCTGATCCCCCGAGAGGCAATCGGATATTCCCTGGATCCACTTCCCCTATAAATGTTATATCCAGTTATATTCTGTGTATCCAAGAAAGAGTCCAGGACTTTCCTACAGCAATCCACTGAGCTGGCCACAACCAACTCTGGAGGGAGTCTATTCCACATTCTCACAGCTCTTACTGTGAAGAAACCTTTCCATGTTTGGAGATTACTTTCCCCCCTTATGTATTATACATGGAGATCATATCCCCCCCCCCCTTATGTATTATACATAGAGATCATACCCCCCCCTTATGTATTATACATAGAGATCATATCCCCCTTATGTATTATACATGGAGATCATACCCCCCCCTTATGTATTATACATAGAG